AGCCATGCATGCTCCTCAGTCGTGTGCCGCATTTGCATACTCTTGTCTTCTTTTGAACCGGGTTATCCGGCCTTGGGTAAATTCGGACATTGTGGACTTGGGCGACTCTTGCATAATGTTCAAAGCTACAGTTCCAAACATGGACGATCTCCTGAGGTGCGCCCTCAGCGTCGCGCGACACAGGCGGCACATGATTAAACTGATTGGTTTCTGTCATTCTTCGACTGCAGCAGTACCATGAGGTTAAAGGGATGCAAGGACCCCTGCCCCAGGACGGAATGATGCATTTCAGCTGTTTGGCGGGCAGGGTCACCGGCTGCAAGATTGAGGTATCCGTGGAAGCGCTCCGGACAGTATCGCTTCTCTCGACGTGGTTCATGAGTGCAGAGCAATGCCCCCGTTTGTTGAACTACGGACATGGCGACGCCATGTGCACGATTGGGTGACAGAAACGGCTGCGGTTATGCTTCTGATGTGATGTGCGCGCTGGCTCGGGCGGCCATCGGTCTCCCTCTAAACTCGTGGTGGACGAACAGCAGTGAGTTTGCAACCTTGCGCCAGTCTGTTTTTCACCCACTCCAGGCACCTCGTGTAAAATAGCTGATAGCCTATGCTTCAGCAAGTCCGCAACATTCCGCAACCGCAACAGCACTGCGCGCCGCAACTACTCAGTAAATACTCTGCATGGAGGATGTCATCATGTACGCTGTCGCTGTGGCAGCATCTGTGCAGGCCCTAGCTCCACAAAAGCATCTGTTCCGATGAGGTGTGCTTCTATTTGGTAAAGTGTGTTGCATCACTGTGTCCACAGCAGAGTGATAGAGCTCCATTGGGAGCCTTTTTCATGTTGAGGTGTGCTCCTGAGCTTTGCATAGGTCAATGCCAACCGCCCAACTCTATGGAAATACATGTGGAAGAACTGGTCGTTGAGCCCAGCATCCTCGCACGGTGCAAGTGGCCTGTGGCTGCAATTTGTCTTGGCTTTCTTAACTCCGTTGTCACGGTCAGGTCTCAGCACAGTCAGGCCTTCGACATGCACCCAAGTAGCAACCAAAGCGGCAATCGCATGCGGTGTTGCCGCAATAGCGGAGTTCTTTAGGCTGCAAGGGTTCGCTGTTCCGTTCTGTGGCAGGTTGGTATGGTGTTCTGCTATTTGGCAGCAAGGCGGGCCGCTGGTCTTCCTGATAATGCTCAGCTGTCTGTGTCGACACCTTGAGGCAGTAGCATGAGAGTCGAGACAGGCCTGGCTACGGCCGATCCGCCGTCGCACAGGCATGGGGAGGTCAGCGCCACAGTTTCAGTTCTTGGGAGTACTCTGCTGTAGGCTGCAAGTTAGCATCTGCAAGGTCGTGGGAATGAGACAGATCAGGATCTGCTGAAATTGACAGACTCCGACCCTTCGCTCCATGCGGTGTTGAGACGCTATATGTCGGATGTGCGGCAAAGGCAGAGCTGCACAGCTGTCTGCCCTGTTGCTGCCGCAAATGTCTTCACGTTAGGAGTGTAAACGACCTTCCACCTGTGTGTTTTCTTCCAAGCAGCTCAGTGGAAATAGACAAACAGACCTGGTGACCTGCACGACTATGAAGCAGACTTCTCAAGGATAGTACCGGGACACGAGAGGTGTGATGCAAAGAACAACCAGACAAGACAGCGCTGACAACTGCCGTTTGCTAATTGCCCACTACAACTTCATCTAAATCGATCTGAAGCAACCATCAGCCAGAAGTCCGGCTCCTCAGCGAACGAGCGCATGGTTGAGTCTACATCCTGCAACAGCCCAGCTGTCCCATGGCAGTCCGGGCCCCAAGCGAGCTGGGGTGGCTGTCTAACATTGGCGGACCCTAAACTCAAAATCACTTTTGGGGTTTGAATTGTTTTCAACTCAGGCCAAACCCTGGCAAAGCCATGGCCCCGAGCTTGGTGAATGCAGTGCACTTGCACCTTAGTGCACTAAGTGTGCTGCCATTTGCAGCAGCTTTGCAAACTCTAGCCCGCAAGTGTCAATGTCAACCTGGCTGGAATTCTGCGCCGTTTGGGTTTACACATCTCGTGGGACCGATCCGAAGATGCCCTGAAGGAACGCCCTGCTGGTGCGGTTATAGGCTACGTCGGACCCAAGGACGCCAGCAACAAACCATCCCCGGCAGCACCGTCGTCGGGTGCAGAAGCATCAATCCAGTAGGCTCCCGGCGCTCCAAGAATCCTAAAGTCTAACCATCAATCCTCCCTTGCGTCATTCGCCGGCATTAGGCTCTGGCAGCCCTGAGCCCACTCATCGTGGCAGCTACAGCGTTGCTTCTGGAGCTGGGATCCCGAGACAAGCTTTGAAGGTTCAGACGGAGGCTTCATCTTCAGAAATCTGTCGTGTCTTGCCCTGCCGGCGCCAGCCGACGACAATTACAACTTCTAGTCTCTACGTTGTGCGGTTCCGAGAACTTAATCATCGTGGTAAACCTTGAACCTGCAGAAGCTGATCTAGTTGCACTCGTAATCCGTCAGCAGGGGATGAGCACTCTGCATTCCAAGAACGAAGCGGCAAAAACGGCGTGCGGATCTTAAGTCAATTTCGGGATAGAGAACAGATGAACCAACGAGAACGAAACAGCATCAATACAGGCTAGGCGTCACAACGTCAGTCGTGTTACCAGCAATGTTGGCTTTCGCCAGAATCGTGCTGAGGCTACTTCCTGAGCGATCTCTGGAGGTCGCTTGAGGGCGCACATCCCATGTACCAGTGAGACGACTGAGATGTCTGCATTCACCCCCTGAAACTTGCTAGTGTTACACCCGCAGAACCACCGCTGCTACCATCATCATTGCCACCGTCACCCTGTCCCCGCCGCCACCAACACTGCCAGCAGTGTCATCACCACATTGCTGGTGCAGCAGTCATCATCATCGTCGTCGTCATCATCGTCATCATCATCGCCAGCCCGACGACCATGACCCGGCACGATGAGCTCCACTTATGCTAGCACCACCGGAGCTCACAAGCACCACGATCATCGCGCAACCAGAATCACTATCACCAGCATCACGATCAGTGCCAGCATGATTGTAGCTCGCAATCATCGTCATCATCCTTGCCATCAAAAATCGTCATCGTCGTTCATCACCTTCATCACCAAGTACCGTCTCTTCTGTTATGCCTGAAAGATAAGAACCCAAAAGCTTCAGGTCCGGATTGATCTTCGAGCAGCCGTGCGCCTGCTTGCACAGCTGTGGTAGTCAATGTGATCATCCATCAAGATAGGCACTGGTGCTTGCCGTTGCCGCGGCATGCTGGGACTTGCCCTTAGTCGTTTGTTCATGTGTTTTCATCGCATGTGCTTGGATATGGAAGGACATGGCTGCAGCATCTACATCTAACGTAAGAGCCGCTTTTAGTCACGATGTGGCTGCCCGGCTTTCCGAGACATCGCTTCATCTCCTCAAAGACGAAAGGAGGCAGGATTGGATCGGAACTCCTCTGACTGCAGGGCACGAGCGTCCCATAATGAGGCCTGAAGAGCCAAGCAAAGCATCAGATGGGTGCCCAGTTGCCTAGAGGTGTGTGTGTCTGTGTGTGTGTGTGTGCGCGAACTTTCAAGAGAGCTCGAGAAGCATCGCCAAAGATCTGATCAATTGGCTCCTGAGGTTGCTGGCTTGCAAGATACCTTGGCAGAATGCCGTGCGCCTTGGCCGCCCTGGCCGCTGTCGATGTGTGCAGCTCACGCTCACGTTCACGATGCTGCGCATGGTAGTGGGCAGCGACCTGAGGCTGTAAAAGCCATGCAGGAAGAGATCCTGCTGGACTGTCGGGCACAACTACACAGGCTAATGACTACTGACCAAAGATCCAGAAGCCGAAGCCCCGGTTGGACTGGCCATAGAGTCCTGAGCTCTCTTCTTCTTGCTCTTGCTAGAAGCGGCGGCCTTAAATGCCCTACTGCAAGTCACAGGCTCCGTGATCTCTCGAGCCGAAAGGAGCTTGCCGAGCTCAAAACCCAGCACGCCCGACGCGAAGAGCTGCGAGCCAATGAGCAGCCCTTGACCCGGCCGGCCTACTGCATTCGGGAGGGTAGGCTGGGCAGACTTCGGGCTTGGGGCTTCCGTTCCGTGTGGAAGGATTGATCGGTGCAGAGTCTGGGGTCCAGATTGTCGAACTTGAGGCTTCCGTTCTACAAACAAGCTTGTGCAGCTCTGTGTGTCTATCTAAGACTTGCAGAGCAGTGTCAGAGACGGCTACGTCGAGCATTCAGCATTCTGTCTCCAACTCTACGTCGTCACAGCGCAGTCGTCATAGTCATGACTCAGAGTCATAAGACAAGATAGTGATGAACATGATATCGGAACGGAGCCGTGAAAAACAACTCACAGCACATGAGTGTTAGTCGCACTGACATGGAAAGAGTAACTGGCATGATCGCTGCAGACATCAAACAGCTGCCAGTACGAGTCATGCACCTGGACGCAGCATCACCACACACTTTCTTCTGCAGCGATACTTGTGGCAGCCAGGATCTAGTCAATGGGGTCGAAGCCCACCTCATTCTCTGCTTGAGATTCGTTTTTTCGCCCAAAAGCATGCTGTGTTCAAGAGCGGCAGAAAACAGGGGCAAGCAGTGGTCACCAGCAGTAATCATGACCAGTATGACGGCACAACCAGAGCATTGAACGAAAGACACCAACAGCAACACCAACAAGAGCACCAACATCTCCAGCATCACCAGCATCACCAGCATCACCAACATCACTAGCATCATCAGCATCACCAGCATCAGCAGCATCACGGGCATCACCAGCATCAGCAGCATCACCACCATCGCCAGCATCACCAGCACCACCACCATCACCACCACCACCACCACCACCACCATCACCATCATCGCCACCGCCACCACCACCACCACCACCGCCGCCGCCGCCGCTGCTGTCGTCGTCGTCGTCACCGTTGCCGCCGCATCATCATCATCATCATGATGATCATCATCATCTTCTCATCATCATCGTCATCGTCATCGTCATCGTCATCATCATCATCATCAAAACATCATCATCGAAACATCATGATCATCATCATCATCACCATCATCATCATCATCAAACATCATCATCAAAACAGCATGATGATGATGATCATCATCATCATCACCATCATCATCATCATCATAAACATCATCACCATCATCATCATCATTTTCAACACAATATCATCATCACCATCGTCGTTGTCGTCGCCGTCATCATGGGCAAAGGAAGTCGACGGCAATATGTCTTAACATCTTTCTGGTACCAACACATCGCCAAGTCGGTGAGACGCTAAGGCGGTTAGAGGAGAAGCGAAGGTCCGTGGACGCACTTCACCAGGCCAGGCAGTGTTGACCTGCTCTTGTGCAAGCCACTAGAGGACCCTGGAATCCAAATCTTGGAAGCCTTCAGCCTTCGGCCAGAAAGGCCTGGCGCCAGACTCTCACCTCAGGAGATGCTGGCAACTTCTGGCGTGCTCGTACACCGCTTCCCTGCACTTTGGCAGCAGCGCAGCAGAACATATGAATGAACTAGGCCGTTTGGGCATTAGGTGTTTCGAGCTGCCTGTTCACATGCACTTGTGGACTTGTGCCGATCCCTCTGTGGGTTGTAGCCGCTGGTGACATGGCAAGACGACCAACAGCTAGCATGTACTGTGCCAAACTGATTCATTCATGGCTGTGGCCAACCATGAGCTGCCAAGCAGGTTTTGAGGAATTTCCAGGCAACTCCAAGTTCTACTCTTTTCATGTTAGTGCCGGGCTTGGGCGTTGAAAGAGCAGCCGCGGGATGCCATGTTCGCCTCTATGATCCGAAAGCTTCACGGAAGCGAGGCAGGGATGTTTTGCTGTCGCAGGTCTGCAAGACATGGTTTGAGTCTGCGGTGTGTCACAGGTTGAGGTGCTTCTCTAATGGCGTCGGGCGGTGGTACGAGGTCGGGATGGAGACCACTTGGACCACTCTGCGACTGTTCGTCCGTTTCTTGTTGGGCAAGGCTCAAGTACAGGATCGTCAAGTGCACTTCCGAGGACAGTTCGGCACTTCTGTTGGAAGACTCGTGAAGCTTTTGCAGAGTGCAGAGTGCTGCAAAATCTGATGAACCAGAACATAGCAGGCGGCACGGCGAGCTTCAGACTTTGATGCATAAGATGTGCCGTACTGCTACCGCTTGTCATCCAAAGCCGCTCGGAATCCCAAAGTCCAAAACCCAAGCTTAAAAACAGAAGTGACTGGATTATCGTACCATCCCAGCAGGAGCCCGACTATCCTGCCAGGGCCTCGAGCTGCTCAAGCTTTCGTAGAGCTGGCGTGTGGTGTGAGAGCCCTACATCGACGGGGCCTGTTGAGCAGCTCTTTACATACTCATGAAAGCACAAAGGCAGCTCCTGCTGCTGCTCCTGCTCCTGCTCCTGCTCCTGCTCCTGCTCCTGCTCCTGCTCCTGCTGCTGCTGCTGCTGCTGCTGCTGCTGCTGTGGCCTCTGTGACGACGAGTTTGCGGCCAATCTATTATGCAGGCATGTTCTTGTATCTTGAGTTCGACGAGATGGTTGTGGATGCACGGGGCGATGTGGTTTAAAAGAGGACATCGGAAGTTGAGAGCTCGGTCAGTAGCCATCCTGCTACGGGAATCGCATCCCTACTGGCAGCACTGGTAAAGCCGACTCGGCAGCAACCTGCAAAACCCTAGGCGGACGAAAGCCTCGCAGACATCCGACACGCCAAGGTTACTGAGCTGCTCTCCCATTCGCAGCAGACGCTGCTCAGCCGAACCATGGTACCCGCTGCTTTCACTACACTCACTACAGTCGAAAAGCTTGTCGGCACACGTCACAGAAAAGCGTACTTCTTGTGAGGGTCAGGGCAGTTATCCTTCTTGTAGCTAACGGTGCATGGGCTTTAAGTGCCTTATCCCCATGTAGAAAGCGCAGCTTGACGGCCGAATCCACCGACCCTGAACTGACGTTCAGGAAGGGATGGCAAACAGCGCGCTTCTGCGAGTTTCCCCAGGAGGCGCCGCCGCGGTGCAGCGATCAACCGCTCGCCCCATTGTCGACTTGTGTGCTCTGTGTCGAACAAATCACAGATCAGAACTTTTAGATACTTCTGGAGCTCCCTGGCCCTAAACACTAGACCCTCATCCTAAAGGATCAAACAACACTGTGGTTCAAACCTCTTAGCCGCTAAAAGTTTTGGCTTTGGCCTTTGGGTCACTACTTTTGTAGGCGGTGAGGCCCCTAACTCGTGGATTCTAGCAGCACCTGCACTTGGAACACAGCCCCCAGCAAACCTAAGCCCAAACTCTGAAACGTGTTCCGGGATCGAGTGGTTGAGTTGAGACCAAGATGCAATCCATGGCTTTCCGACGCCCAAAAAACGGAGACGGCCCACTCCCTCAAAAAGCCTCTGAATTGCCGGGGTTCGAGGGAAGATATTTCAGTCGTGGCCGAAGGGTTTTGTAAGCTTTGGAGGGCCGGTTGGGTGCGTTCCGTGGGGCGTCTTGGTTTGGATCAGAACTTCTCCGTTCTGGCACATGCTTTCCTCGTTTGAGTTCTTGGGACGGTGCAATCTGGCATGGCTCAGAATACGAGTCTGCCTGTTTTATCTCCGCCATCGTTTGCTGCTTGGGTGCAATGTCTGAGAAGGTGAAGATCGGCATTCTGAGCACAGCGTCCATTGTTGGCAAAGTCCTTCCAGGCCTCAAGCATGGCATGGAGGTCGTCGGCGTCGCCTCCCGCGATCGCCAAAAAGCTCAGGACTTCTGTACGACCCACGATTGTGGGGTGGGCATGCTGTATGACGAAATGCTTGAGCGTGACGATGTGGACGTGCTCTACATCCCGCTGCCAACAGGCTTGCGGAACGAGAAGATAGCAAAGGCCATCTCGCGGGGAAAGCACATCTACTCCGAGAAGCCAATGGGAGGAACGGCTTCAGAGCTCTCCGAGCTTCTAAAGCTTTGTGAGGAGAAGGGCCTTCAGTGGATGGATGGCACCATGTGGTATCATTCACTCAGGAGAGACCGCTGGACCCCAAAGTATCTCTCAAAGCCAAACAACAGCCCAAAGCCCTCGTTCCAGGACCAAGGAGATCGAGAAGAAGCTGTCGGGTGGGGAGCTGGGTCAGGCGCTCTCTGCAAAACGGAGGTGTTTATACAGTGTGTAGGTCAGCTTCAGCACGGAACTTCAAGTTGAGTCTCCATCTCGAACCTTCAACTGGAAGATGTTGGGAGTTTGGGCAACGAAGCGGGTCTCCAGATTCTTTTCGGGGAGACTGATCGCAGAGATACGAGTCCAGAGCTTCTCGCGCGAACAACTCGCACATGTTCAGCCCTTAGCCGCGCCAGGTGCTTCGGGTTTCGGCCTCCTTCACGTTCATGGCACCGGATGAGGCCTGGCTCCAGGGCGGCAACGGCAGGACAGACAAGTCCCGGGAGCCGATGGGGTGCCTGGGAGATCAAGGCAGGACATAAATGTGTGTGTGTGTGTATGTAAACAGATACGCATACATGCAAGCATACATGACACAAACACGCATGCAGATCCACACGTTTGTATGGTTAGAGAGGTAGGTACATGGATACAGAGAGACATGAACAGATAGGTCGGCAAGAACACAGACGTGCATCTCTCGCTCTCTCTTCGAACATGTGTTTAAATAGGTTTGCATAGCGTGACATGACTAATTTCGATTACGTTATCGGGTTTAGATGGATTTAAGCGTTATGGCAAGGCTGGTATCCGCTCTCTGCCATTCTCTGGGCGTTTGGGTGGACGATGCCTGAGAAGGTGATGTGTACACATGTCACCCTGAACAAGGTCGACACCATCGTTCAGTGTGCAGGCACCTTGTGGTTCCCAGGCAACAGATCTGCAGTCTTCGATTGTGGGTGCACTTCGCCGCACCGCAGTCAGTATGAGATCGTCTGCGAGAAGGGCACCTTGAGGGTGGACGACCTTGTGGGTGGACAGCAAAGGACAGGCAACTTCGCCGCGTACGAGGTCCCTTTTGTCGGCAGTGCTGAGTACATCCAAGGCGATGTGATGGGCAAGGACCAGGTCGTGCAGGTAGAAGCATGCGATCACGTGCATCTGCTGCACTCGGTTTGTCCAGGGCTGGGCTCTTGCCGATACGTCCGGCCTATGTGTTGGCAGTTTAGCACCGAACATGCAACAACACTAGTTCAAAGCCACTTGGTGACAAGTCCATCCACCCCTGTGAGACAGACTGTTTAAGTCCATGTTAGAGTAAGGTGAACATGCTGGTCGATGATCTGGCTAGCTGCATCAAGACCATCAAAGCCGGTGGCAAGCCTGATCTAGACTGGCCACGTCGCTCCCTCTCTGTGCACAAGGTCATGTCTGCAGTCTTCGAATCAGCGCAGAACGGCGGGATAGCCGTTGAGGTTGCCAATTAATGCTTCTCTCCTTCCCTAATCGGTTAGTGATCTTTTCGAGCTTCGAGGAGTGCTTGGCTCCTATGTTAATGCAACAGCCGAACTAGGGCGGTTTCTAGGGAGATCGTCCGCGTGGAGCGGCTTGAAGTCAGTGGAAGCGGGCAGAAAATCCGTTTGCGGCCAATGGGCAGCGTGCATTTCACAATGGAAACCGGGCGCGAGTAACAGCGAACTCGTACGCAACTGAAAATCAGCCTCCACAGAGCTGGAAACTAGCACCGCCACGTACTAGAAGCCAGGCCCGCAGCACAGCCAAAGCCAGGCTTCAGCAGCCCTGCCAAAGCAAGACCCCTGAACATTTGTTCAGGTTGGGGGTGGTTTTGAGGTTTAGGGCTTGAGGGCTGCAGGGTTCACGGCCTCCGTCTTCAGGATGTGTCTCAGGCTGGCAGTATGGGACTTCGACTTATTGCTAGTTGTTTGGTTGCTGAGGGCCTATGCTCAAAGATCTCTGTCCTGCTTCCTGGTTTTTCTTCGATGTGGTTTCTGTTCTGACCCTGGTTTCAATTTAGCTACTTGTGCTGGTTTCGGTTACCACCCTTTATCAGGCCCTTATCAGTAGAGCCCTAAACAGCCATCGAATCGCCCGTCCACGCCTGACGGTCCTGCACCAAGCGCGTCAAGCCCCGCAAACTCGGACAGGTCTGCCTTCAGTTCGACACAGCCGTCCATCTTCGGCAGGCTTTGCTTAAGCGGCTGTTGGCTGCGCGAGACCTTGTAGCACAGGTGCAATTTCTCTCTCATCAAAGCAAGATTGCTACGAAGCCGCTGCCCGAGTTGCCGGAGTCGCGAGGTGATTTGTGGCTTGTGATGTCTCCGGCCCAGTCTTCATCATGTTCTAGCGTCTAGCGTGCCCTACTTGTGCTTTCGCTTTGTTACTGGTTTCGTACACATTAGGATTGAGCTCTTCACCGGCATGGCTCCTGCCTCCGGCCCTGCGGCTGTCGAGGCCAGGCATGGGCCTTTCGTGTTGAGAGCCCTTCCGGTGCTTTCGTTTAACAGACCGCAAGGTCCATTGCTGCTGCTGCTGCTGCTGCTGCTGCTGCTGGTGTTGGTGTCGGTGTTGGTGTCGGTGTTGGTGTCGGTGTTGGTGTCGGTGTTGGTGTAGGTGTAGGTGTACCGTAGGCGTTGTTGTTGTTGTTGTTGTAGCCGCCACGGACCAGAAGGCCGCGCAGTTAAGAGGCGTTCGAACGGGCTCTGGGCGCGACCCTTTTCTCTAGAGGTCCAGCACCAAGGTAACCGCCCGGATTTCCATCCCGGAGAGCGTGTTATCCTCGAAAAGAAGTAACCCCCGCTCTGGGCAATGCGGAAAGCCAGTAGTATTCAGTCGTTATCTTCTGGGATAGGGCAGGAGGTGTGGTTAGCCTCCGGAGCTTGAGGTGTCCAAACTTACCGCCTTTTCCAGGCTGTGCAATTCAAGCGCCTCGGGTACTTGTCCCTGGACAGCAACGAGCGCTCCCAGTTCCAGGACACTCTCTTGTCGTACTCTGTATGTTGCTTTGACATGGTTTCAAAGGCCTGCTGAATCATGCAAAGCTTGCCTCTGCTTGGAAGGCGCGCGAGCTGAAGAGTGTTTATGTGGACGTGGCAGCACAGTTCCTGAGAATCCTCTTTCACAAGCCGGCTCCTCAATGCTGCATCTCCTGAGTCCGCTCAGCTTGCAAGCTTCTTTCATCAGCTGACGGCCGAAGGCCTTTTTTGCTTCGGCTTGTGTTGGCAGCGAGCAATCACTGAATCCATTGCATTGAGTATTGATATTGCTGCAGCTACCGCAACAGCAATCCGATCTGTGCACTCATACCCCTCCTAGCCTTGTACAAGGTGCCACATCAACCGCTACAATGCGCTGAACCAAGTAGGGCTCATCGCCCTCAGCTGCCTCGGGGAGGCCCATCCGGTGTGCATCTATCACAGTGCAAGAGGATTTTTGGACGCTTGGTCATGAATGTCCATCTGATGGAAAGAGCCCTCCAAGCTTCCTGCAAGCTTCGACATCAAGCAGGAGCACGTCAGCACATCGAGTGTTTCTTGTTTTGCACATCAACGGTTGCATTATGTGTGCGTTTTGATCGAAGTATGAGGTTCATACTTGTACTGTTCGCTTGCATCGAAGTGCCAGCCAAAAGCACACCGTATTTGGGCAGTTTGTTCGCAATGGTGCTGTGGGGAATGCAACCGTCCCCACACTTCGTGGCTTCGTACAGGGAGCCGTTTGATACGACGGTCTTACTACAAAGTTGTTGAAGCTCCATTAGGTCATTAAGTCTATGAACCTAATGCCATACATACTACACTTCATGCTACCTGCACTCCATTCTGATATGCTATAGACATGTTCTTGTTACCATTTGGTACGTAGGCTGTTTGCATTGCAACACCTGCATAAGGTCTTCCGACTATGCCGCTATGCACGGTCTAGGGCATCGGACGCTTTCAAAAGATTAGCGCCGATTGTAGCCTGTCTTTAGTACGGGCGCCGGGTGTCGGGGCGTCCGATGGTCCGTACCTGCTGTCTGCTCCATCGTTCGCATCGCCAGGTTGTGACTCCGGCTGAGATGCCTCAAGCCCAGGCTGCCATCTCAAAGGGCTGCAGCGGCTCAAGAAAAGTCTTCGCTACGGTCGGGTCCATGTTCCGTCAGTCCGTCAGATGTTTGAGGTTGCCAGCCTTGTCAGCCCTGCTGCCCAGAAAGCAAGCGCTGCGGTCCCAGCACCCCCGAAGGCACGACCGCTAAACGTCGCTAAGCCAGAATTCCGACCAGAGTGAAACAGGGCCTTGTGTTGGTTGAAGACGCTTGGCACAGCAATTTGCAGTGCAGGTGCCCGTGCCAGATACCAAACAGTCACCGACGGTGGAAGCCTTAATTCCAATCGCGGCTCGGTGTTCCTTTATCGCAGCAGCAGAAACGAGCTTTCTTGATCTCTTGGGCATCACATGGGTTGCCACTGCCAACAGACACAAAAGGTGGTGCCGCCTGCTGCCGTGCCACAAGCGCCGCCACCTGACGTGGAGACCATTCCTCAGGTTTTTCCGGCAGCCCAAGGGAGCAAAGATTGTCCCTGAGCTGTTTTCACTTGTGCACACCTGTCCAAGACCGCCGCCGGTGACTCCAACTCCAAGACAGCAGCCCACTGTTTCGAAGGCTCTCTTGGCTACAGACTTCCCAGAGGCAGCTCTCCGGTGCTCCATTTTTTCTAACCTGGCGGAGGTCGTGAGCGACCTCGCCGACCTGGATGAGGCCAAGTACGATGTCCCGGCCCCAAGGGATGCCTTTGAGCCTGGTGAGGCGAAACCCCCTGTTCAAGCTCCGCAAGTCTATAGAGTCTAGAGTCTGGCCTGGGTTTCTCAGGATTTTCGCTTATTTGGGCCGATGCCAAATACTCCTTTGGAAATGCTGCAATCCGAGGCGAAGACTCTGGAGCGGCTGAGGAATTTGGTGTTGGAGAAGCAGCAGTGCGTAGAAACAGAGGACCGCTGCTCTTGTGAGGTATGGAGCGATCGCGTTTTCGGAACAACCTCCGCCTTTCGTAAGCTGACTTCGGCTGGAGCTGCCGCGCACTGCTGCACAACTGCAGGACTATGGAGGGGCCAAGCGCTGTAAGGATGCGATCGCCATGCTCAAGCAGAAAGGTTCCGGCCCTGTTGCGATCTACAATCTGGAGCATGCTCGCGCAAGGGCCCATTGTTTGCCGGACAGGCTGTAACTAACCAGCTACCAAAAGTCCACGAAGCAATCGTAATTACTCAGTGCAGCATCCTGCAGTAGTCCCTACTCTTCTAGCTTAAAGAACTCCGCTGTGCGATTGCCGTGCTGACACAGGCCTGCAGATCTGCGAGCTCGAGGCGACCAACAGACAATCGTTCGACATTGATTTGGAGCATTCGAACGAGAATTCACCTTAAATGTTCGACCATCATCATGCACAAGGGCCACATCCAGCTGTCACCAGTCGAGGCTTGATCCTTTGTAAGCTAATGGACGGATGCTCGGCCAGGAGCAGAAGCGAGCTGCTGTGGAGAACGAGGACGGTTCGGTTCAGCAGTCAATCTGCCGGCCCCTCTGGTCGTTGTAAGGAGTACGACACGGCCAAATCGCTGAAGACAGAGATTGACAGGCCGAAGTATTGGCTTGCCTTCAGCCTCATGATGTCATAATGGCAGGAGCTGTGCACTGTCGTACACGTGGGTATAGCAGTAGGTACGTAAGACCTTTATGTATTATTTGACGGGTCTGTTTCCTCTTCCAATATGTTCAGGAATTTAAGGACCCTTTCCAAAGAAAGGGCCTTTCAAATTTTGAAAAGGCCGTTTTAAATTCTAAAAGGTCTTTTCAAATT